ATATATATATATATATATATATATATATATATATATATATATTATTGTAGAAGCTTGAATAAACTTGAACATTTTTTAACAAACTTGAAACTAATCTATAGATCTGATTGTTAAAATAACAGAAATTTGTCTGTTTAAACAAAACAAATAGGTATTTTTTTATAGGTATTTCTTTTTAAAAAAGAAATACCTATAAAAAACCTTTTATTATTAAGTCAAAAAACATTTTATTAAATACATCATTTCATTAGTTTCTATATCGCTGTTATTTTATTTGAAAAGTCACCTCTGACATTTTTTTTGTTGATATAATATAAAAACATCCATTTTGAAACACATATTTTGAAATAAAAATAATAAGTAATATAAATGTAAATATCATTTCAGTTATAGATGTTTATTACAAGTAAAGTTTATCATATAGGAAAGACAATAATGAATTTTAAATATTGTAAACATACTATTCAGTTATTTATAATCAATATATTTTTAATTCATTTATTTATAATCCAATTTTAATTTTTTTGTCCAAATTATGTTTGAAAATATACAAAAAATTGGACAATGGAAATGATCCAAAGATTCACAGTAAAATTATAAAGATTATAAAAAACATAACCATACAAACCTCTGGAAGCCAAACATCCAAAACATAAGAAATAGGATTATATGGTAAATGGTCTTCTTTATACCAACTTAAAAGGGTTTCCACTACTGTGTCTGACTATATTACAAAAATAATTCAATATATATATATATATATATATATATATATATATATATATATATATATATATATATATATATATATATATATATATATATATATAAATTAGTAGAAAATCACTTAACAAAAACTTTTTTCATTTTACACTGTGTCTCATCAACAAAGACTCATCAGAAATGAATGATCAAATTAATAAAACTTCAATTTATACCAAAAAATTAAATTACAGGAAGTCGCAAATGTTTTAATAACTGTAAATTTTCACACATTTGTGGAACTTGCTGAAACTATTATAAAAAGAATTCTTTAGAAATGATTACTTATGCTTTTTTTTTTTTTTTTTATGAAAATATTTTTAAAAAAGGGGAGACTTAATGTAACTATTATTTGAGCTCACTTATTTTATAGTTTTTTAGGAGAAACTTATTTTCGTGCCTGCATTTAGAAATCAATTCCGATTTTTTGTTTAACAAACATTCTTGGCTTGCGTGTATAATTATTTGAAATTTTTCTTGTAGACATAGTATGCATTTTTTGGAAATATTGTTCTATGCAGGCGCTGTTTTAAGGATGGACCAATTCAGTATAAAATCATCAATATTTTTATCTTTTAGTTCCCATATATATTTTGACAGCATGGTTTTGGAATACTTTTTATTTTTAAAAGATTTCTTATGATTGGCAAAAAGTTTTTTCCATTCACCCTCTGTTATACCAATATATTGTTTATCGGGTACATTCTTAGAGGAAACAATACATTTATATACCACATTTTTTGATAAACAACTTCCACTCATTGGACAATTATTTTTTTGTTTACAATTACAATTTTCTGTAGTTTTTTCATTTAGGATTTCTTTTTTATTTAACAAAGCATTATTGTGACTTTTTATAATTCTTTCCATATTTTTTGTGCCACTGTAGCTAACTTTAATTGTATTTCGATTAAAAATTTTATGTAATTTATTAGAGGGAGGGAAATGCTTAACGAACAATTTTAAAAACACTTTTCCTATGTTAGTGGAAACATTTTTGCTATATGGGGGGTTGAACCAAATTACATTTCTAGTTCTGTTCCGTTTTTTTGTATTCTTTTTATCAGGGTCATATTTTAGTTCAAAATTTTCAAAACCACTTTTTTAAGGGCATCTTCAAATATTCGTTTGGAGGAATTAAATACATTTTCATTAGAGGAATTTTGGTTTAACCTGTTATTAATTGAAATCGGGATTTGTTTTAGAATTTGTGGTGGATGATTTGAGTTAATATTAATATACAATAATTCATCGTTTGGTTTTTTGAAAGGCTTATATTAATATTCAGAGAGGTTAAATGTGACATCAAGAAAGTTCACAATTTTTAAATTTATGTTTATTTTAATTTGAAAGCCAATATTTTAAAAAATTTTTATATCTTTTCGAATCTTATCGAGCTGTGGACCATATTTTTTACGCATTACTATTAAACCATCGTCGCAATAAAGGCCTAAATCATTTATATTGATTATTTTACTTAATAAATCTAAAATGTATATTCCAACAAAATTTCTGCTCCGTCATAACTACCGTCATAACTAAACATATATATATATATATATATATATATATATAATATATATATATATATATATATATATATATATATATATATATATATATATATTATCTATATTTAAATATATATATTTTGTATATATATATATATATATATATATATTTTGTATACATATATATATTTTGTATATATATATATATATATATATATATATATATATATATATATATATGTATATTATCTATATTTAAATATATATATTTTATATATATATATAAATATATATATTTTGTATATATATATATATATTTTGTATATATATATATATATATATATATATATATATATATATATATATATATATATATATATATATATATATATATATATATATAATTTAAAGAAACTAATAATAATTTATTACAAAAATTTAATTACCTCCTGATCATTAAGTGGACCATACCCACCAAGTATATATATATATATATTGTATATATATATATATATATATATATATATATATATATATATATATATATATATATATATATATATATATATATATATATTTATATATATATATATATATATATATATATATATATATATATATATATATATATATATATATATATATATATATATATATATATTTATATATATATATATATATATATATATATATATATAAATGTATATATATATATATATATATATATATATATATATATATATATATATATATATATATATATATATATATATTATTTAAAGAAACTAATAATAATTTATTACAAAAATTTAATTACCTCCTGATCATTAAGTGGACCATACCCACCAAGCCATTTTAAACCTGATTTTTCTTTTCTGTTACCTTTTGTATATACAGCGTGCCTGTAGGAAAACTCTTTACCAGTAGCTATATTTTGAAGAGTTACCTAAGAATATTATTAAAATATAAATGTAATACATTTTTAACTATTTTGTAATAGACTGATAATGACAGATTCTCAAGTCTCAATCTATCAGTATCAGTTTAGTACAAACAAAGCTTTACACTTTTTAAGTTGAAATTTGTCAATCTTGTCTTCACACACTTTTCAAATTGAGAGGTGAATGGACATTATATGTATCATTATAAATATCATGGATGAGACAGGATTAAAATTTAATATCTTTTACTATAATATAATAGTACTATTTGCTTAACAAAATTATTTAATCTTATTTTCTGTATTTTTATTTTCTATTATTTATATTCACAAGTTTGACTATTATTTTCTGTTGTCTGGAAATTTAACAATCTTTGAAGGAATGAAAAAATTATTGCATTGATTGATATTTAAATTTTTTTTTAACAATTCAAAAAAAAAAATTAAATATCAATCAATAGAGGGGGAGGGAGAGGTCTTCAAAAAGCATACGAAAACATATCGGTCAAGCGTTTTTGGGCTTTTTTGTTCGTAGGCCTCCGATATCTTAATTTTTTGCAAGACCTCCTCATTTACACATTTTCACACATTTAGCATAAGTAGTGGTTGTTTTTGGAGCATGTGGAGAAATTGTGTGGAGTCTCTAAAATATGATGGAAGTGTTTCGGCGAGTGGTTGTATGAACAAATTTCACACATTTGGCATAGGCATACTTATATTTGGAGCTTGTGCAAGCTCTAAAATTAAGTATACCTATGCTAAATGTGTGAAAGTGTCCTATCTAGAACATCAAAAAATCCTGCGGGCGCCCATGCACACATTCCAACTCCTTATATACTGGCCCTGAGTAAAGCGTATTTCAGGCAATATATTTTTTGAGTCGACAAAAAACAGGTTTTAGCAGTGCAGTGGCTAATGGGTCGGAGACCCTCCAAAAAAAACGTGTCATTTGGGTCTTAAAATCTTCCAAATTTTACCGCTAGGTTTTGTTAAAATAAAAAGCTCCTTAAATTAACAAAAAGACACAAAAATATTTGTCCCTTTTCCCCCTACCCTCCCAAATTAAAGGGTACGGGTAGCATATCCTCGGCACTGGGTTTTAGGCTTTGTTTTCGATATTACTGATCTCGCATAGGACTTATTTTCAACAGACTTACTAAATAGGGGTGCCTAAAAAAAAGGTCCACCTCAAGTATAGTTTATTTTTATTTGATTTGTCATTAAAACACAAAAATTACAATTTGACTCAATCAGGGATCGAACACAGATCTCCGTCGCCTCAGTCTGTAGAACTAACCGCTAGACCAAGCAACACATCGATAAAAAGAAATTTAACTATATTTAAGTTAATATTTGCATATATATTTGAAGAGGTTTGTTAAATTTGGATCCTGTGCCACAAACAAAGAGCTTTTATTTTTCCATAAACTTTTTAATTGAAAAAAAAAGTTGAACAGGGTATTTCAAAAACATACATACTTTTTTAGGGGGGAAAGGACTTAGAAGTACGCATGGCAACAAGAAGAGGGGGTTAGATTTGAAAATTTTTGGCGTACGTACTTTATGGACGACCCATTATTTGTTTAACTAAATAAAAAAATTATACTAGTACATATTTAATGTAATTATCAACTATTGTAAAGGTGTCTGGTGTTTGTGTAAATGTAAATTACTCCATTTATCAAACTGCATAAATGTTAAAAAAAAAAGACTAATTTAAATTTACAAAAAAGCTTAAAGTGTAACAAAAATAGTACATAAGAACATAAAATGTAAATTGCATACAATGAATTGTTTAAATACTAAGACAACTTTTTTTTATCAATAAACAATAATGATAATAATGACAATAATATCGATGATAATGACGACAATGATGAGAATCTTGACATATGTACAGCAATGTGATGTAGTAAAGATTGAGTACATATATTGAATGATTTAAGAAAACGCAAGGAAATTACTGCTACATCATTATATATATATATATATATATATATATATATATATATATATATATATATATATATATATATATATATATATATATGTATATATATATATATATATATATATATATATATATATATATATATATATATATATATATATATATATATATATATATATATGTATATATATATATGTAAACATACTCGTGATAACATTATGCTCTCCATAAGTCTTGGATTAACAGCAACACTAAAAAATAATAATAATTAACCCATCAAATATTTGAGAGATAAAAAATGCTAAAAAGATATTAAAGATTAGAGGATTAGGAGAAATAACTTAAATTAACAAAAACAGCAGAAGGTATAAAACTTAAATAAGTTAACATGTTAACAAAGTAAAAAATGGATATCAATTTGCTAATAAATAGTATTATAATATAAAATTTACTTGTCTATTTAAATAATGTGATAAAGTAACATGTAGATATTATAGATTAAACTTAAAAAATATTTTTTTAAATACTAATAATAATTGTTTTAACTGATGTTAGCTAAAAATTTAAGAACACAAACCCTTTTGTGATTTGATCATTAACTTCATTTGTTGTTAATCTTTTTTTATTTGTTATTTCAGCTAAAAATAAAAAAGTAAAAATTTAACACTAAAAAAAGTCCACCAAATTTTTTAATGTAATAATTCATTTTTTATATATTTTTTAATTCTGTATATTAACTTATTTTAATATTTTTTAAAACATTTTGAACATATAAGAAAATTTTAATTCAACAGATATATAAATTTATTCCTTAAGAAAATAATTTTTTATTTCATTTTAATTTATTTTTAGTATTATTCCACATATTTTCCAAGTCAATTTTTTTTCTTTTTTAAAAGGTGTAAAGGTGTCAAAAATACAAGAAGCACTTTATATTAAATGGAAAAAACTTTGTTTATATAAACAAACATCTTATATGATAAATTGATCAAACTAGTTTACTTTATAATCAATAATCAATTTTTAAGAGGTTTATACTCGAATATCCAATTTAGGTGCAAAACATTTATTAACACTTAAGAATGACATTTATTGACACTTAGGACATTTAAAACAATATATTATCTGGATTTTTAAAATGCGATTTGTACCATTAAATGCATTACACAGGTTAAAATTATTAATTTATTTTTATTATAAGTAAAAATCTGCCTTTTCTCCCAATTTTATAAATTTCATTTACTTTTTTAATGATGCTTATAGAATATTTTGAGGTACTCCATAAGTGGGGTACTTTGATACAAACTTCTAGTTTTACTTTAAATAGTATCACAAGTTTAACCTGTGATTCTTTAACATTTTGGTAATAAATTTAATTTTATAGGTTTAAATTTATTTTACAAATTAAACCAATCACATAAAAAAACGTGAATAAATTTTTTTTTACAAAACAAAAACCAATAGTATATTAATCTGTATATATATATATATATATATATATATATATATATATATATATATATATATATATATATATATACTCTTGCATGTCTCTTGCGTGGCATCAAAAAAAGTTTCCCATAAACTGTAGTTTTAAAGAGCGCGTTAATAAACCAGACCAGAAAAAGTTTTAAAAATTTAAAAATTAAATTATTTTTTTTAATTGATAGACTGCCTGGCCAAACCAGACCCTCAGTCGATGTAGCAGCACTCTCTTGCGAGTCAGGCTATTTGTCAGTCGATGTAGCAGCACTCCCTTGCGAGTCAGGCTATTTGTCAGTCGATGTAGCAGCATTCCCTTGCGAGTCAGGCTATTTGTCAGTCGATGTAGCAGCACTCCGTTGCGAGTCAGGCTATTTGTCAGTCGATGTAGCAGCACTCCGTTGCGAGTCAGGCTAAAAGATAGTCGATGTAGCAACATTTACGCATGTTTTAAAAATGTTTTTTATTAAATCAATAACAAAAACACCACTTATTAAAAAAAACATTCTAGTCGTTATAATTGCGGTTTTTTAAAAAATTTTTAAAAAACAATTAAATTTAATGTACTTCCGCATAAATTAATTGCTTTGACATTTCGATGACAATCAAAAACAGCTTAAGAGACGAGGTAATTAAAATTGTAGTCGTAAGAGACTTTTTTTACATTAAAACGCTCTTTCGACTACACTATAAGGGTATATATATATATATATATATATATATATATATATATATATATATACATATATATATATATATATATATATATATATATATATATATATATATATATATATATATATATATATATGTATATATATATATATATATATATATATATATATATATATATATATAAATATAAATATATATATATATATATATAAATATATATATATATATATATATATATATATATATATATATATATATATATATATATATAATATATATATATATATATATCAGGCTTTCCCAGGAAAGGCGTGCGGTCGCACGCCTTGTTTGTCCACGCATAGAATAAATTTTTCAGAAAACGTGACCGCGGCATTATTTTGTAAGAAAGCGGAAATTATCCACAAAAAATAAAAAATAATATTAAAAAAATGAAACGAAGTCTAAACAAAGTATAAAATTGAAATTGGATGTAAGAAAAATATATTGATAATAAAAAAAAATTAAAAAAAAAAAAATTCTTGTAACAAAAAAAAAAAGTCTTGAACATTTTTTTCAAAATTTTTATACTGTTTTTGTTTTCTTTTATTAGGGTTGCTATTTTCAGCTACGAAATTTGATACAAGTCAAGGAAAAGACGACGATAAGTCATAAAGTTTTCACGAAAATAAAAAGACTTGATACGTAATTTATTCACGAACTTTATTAGACAATGTATTAAAAAACTGATTCATTATTTACGCTAGACAAATTTGGTTAAACTTTTTCAGACTAGACAAATTTGGTTAAACTTTTTCATTTAATTTTGTTTTTACGAAGGTTTTTGCAAAGGCAATGACTTTATTCCCCAATACTTAGACAAGAAAATAAATTGCTGTTCTAATTATTAAATATATTATTTAAGATTTTAAACATAAAAAAATTTTAATGTGAATATAGTTCTTTTTCGACTTATTTAAAACTGATTATACTGAGTCAATGCTCGTCTTTTATTACGTTGAAATTATTCAATTGCATAATTTTGTAATTTCGAAAGAAGTTAATAAAATAATTGCATTGCTTCTGTTGTCATTGTTACGAAAACAGTTTCTTCGGGACATTATTATATATTAACACTTGTTCACAATGTCAATTAATGATTGCAAAATAAGCAACTCAATCGTTTGACAATAAAATCTTCTTTCATTTAAAAAAAAAAAAAAAAACATATTTTACTAACAAATAATCGTTTTCGTGTTTTCTTGCGTATCAATACATTCAAACATTAAAATCAATACATTTAAACATTTAAATGTATTTACGAAACATTTAAAAATTGTTTATAGTTCTAGCGTGAATTTTAAAGTATTACTGACTGATAAAAGTCATATACAAATTTTACATTAAAAGGTCCTTTTATTTTCTTTAAACATTAATCTTTTTCTTTTTGATTTGATTTTTCTTATTGATTTGATTTTTCATAGCTTAAATAACTACCACCTTAAAAAAATAAAAATATAAAATATAGGTAAATTTTTTTTTAATAATATACATTAATTTTTTAATTTTAAAGCACAAACAGATTTCTGTTATTTACTTTAAGATTGCTTGCATTTTTGCGGTATTTTCGTTTAGCTTTGTTTTGGCGCGAATTCTTGAAACGCATAATAATAAAACGTGGTCAGTTAGTCAGAAAAATTTATTCTATGCGTGGACAAACAAGGCGTGCGACCGCACGCCTTTCCTGGGAAAGCCTGATATATATATATATATGTATATATATATATATATAAATGTACAGAAGTATATTAAAATAGATAATTAATAAAATATAAAGTAGTAAATAGATCACAAAAAGTACAAAAATAAAGTATACAAATCTATATTTTTTATTTATAGCATGTACATAAAAGAATATATATAAAAATATGAAATAATACAAGAGTATTACATAGAAATTAAATTTTGAAATTGTAATAAAGATTTTTTCTTTGGTTTGTGTTTGGTATTACTTTGCATTTTATCTTCAAATGAAAGTCTATTTCTAGATAATAAACTTTTACTTTTTTTAAAAAAAAACATCTTCGCTTCCAACAAGGCTGCAAGCAACCACTAATTAGTATTGGAAGTTACTGGAAGAGAAAAGATGAAGATTGTAGAGCAAGATAACGATTGACAGACGACTTAAAAGATTGCAAATTATATGAATCAGGAAAGTAAGATGAAGGAAGCGAATTCCAAAGACCTGATGTTCGAGGGAAAAAACTAGACGAATAAAAGTTTTTGGAGCACTTAGGAACAGTAACAGAAAAAGGATGAGACTTATTTGAATGACGAGTAACACAAGAGTGAATTTTAGTAGATGGCACAAGAAACGCTAGCTCTTCAGAACAATGCCCATTATAGTATTTGTAGAAAAGAGAAAGAGAAGCAACATTACGACGATGTGACAAAGGTTGAAGGTTGGCTGCAAGAGCAGGTCCAACTAAGTTTACAATGCGTTTTTGCACCTTGTCTAAAAGAGAAAGGGCATCATTAGAAGATTTGCCCCAGATATGGCAACAGTATTCCATACAAGGACGGATTTGAGATTTACAGAGATAGAGAATAGAATCCAGAGTAAGAAAGTGTTGAGCTGGATAAAGAGATGCAACTTTAGCAGATACTAATTTTGCAACGGATTTAATATATGGTTTCCAAAAAAGATCTGAAGTAAGAGTTAATCCTAGAAGATGAAGGGTAGATGACTCATAAAGTACATTACCGTTCATAAATATAGGAAGATCTAAATTATTGCGATAACAATTGGCTGAAAAATTGAGTTTTATCTGAATTAAAGTTCACCAGCCACTGAGAGCCCTTTGCTGTAGCAGAAATGAGATCCTTTTCAAGCTCAGATGCCCCCTGCAAGCAATCAGAGGGAGTTGGCTTTTTATCGTGACAAGAATAAATGGTAGTATCATCAGCGAACAATGCCACCTTGATGTGAGAATATCTGGAAGATTGTTAATGTAAATTAAAAAGAGTATAGGGCCAAGGATTGAACCTTGAGGAACCCCTGAGGTTACAGAATAACAAGAAGAGTGCTGTCCATCAAGGACAACTTTTATACTACGATTGGAAAGGAAGGATTCAATAATCTTAAAGATATTTCCTGATACACCGTAAGAAGAAAACTTATGGAGAAGACCAGTATGCCAAACTTTATCAAACGCTTTAGAAATGTCAAGAGCAAAGGCCTTAACCTCTCCACCTTTATCTAATGCGCGATAAAACCTATCGGTTATTACTGATAGCAAATCAGCTGTAGAACGAGAAGATCGAAATCCATATTGATGATCAGAAAGTAGGTTATGAGATTTGAGATGAGAGATTAAGTGTTTGTTAATTAAAGATTCAAAAACCTTGCTTATGATAGGAAGAAGACTAATGGGACGGTAGTTAGACAAATCGGATCGCTCTCCAGAATTTTTAAAAATAGGGATAACAGATGCTGCTTTCCAGCAGACTGGAAAACAAGACTCTGATAAGCACTTGTTGAATAGTTTTGAAAGGATAGACAACAGCTCCGGAGAACACTTCTGCAAGACTATAACAGGTATGTTGTCCGGGCCGCAAGCTGTAGAAGAGTCTAAGCGGGAAATCACTTTAGATACAGAAGCTGGAGTGATACGAATGTCGAGCAATGGATCAACCTGTTTGACGGCTATATCAGGTAGAACGCAACTAGTGGCATCAAGATATTGATGATATTGATGATATTGATATTGATGAAAATGATGATATTGATATTGATGAAAAGTTCTTGGCAAACAATTCAGCTTTGTCTTTAGGTGAGGTGACAAAGTTTGAACCATACAAAAGAGGTGGAATAACAACAACAACAACAACAACAACAACAACAACAACAACAACAACAACAACAACAACAACAACAACAACAAGCTATTTATTTTATGTAAATCATTTTACAATAGTTTTGATAATAATGATAATAATAATAGTAACAATACAATAAATATATAATAATGACATAAGAACAAAAATAATAATTATACAAATTATAGTAATAGTAATAATAAGTATGTTTACAATAATTACAATGAAAAAATAATAATAATAACTAATATTAATATAATAATAAGTTAATGATTTATTAGGATGGTGTCACTTTTACAGAAATCTGATCAAAGGAGTGACACCAATTTTTAATATAATATAAGTAATAATAAGCCAAGACAAACACTGAAACACATGGACCATAAACACACAAACCAAAGCACATAAAATATACATCAAAACAAACATATAGAAATCAATTTGCAGATTTTACTAATAAAAAAAAATAAACAAAAAGTGCTGATAATAATTGCAGTAATTACGAAAAGAAAATTAAAATAATATTTAAATCATAAGGATAATAATGCCAAAAAGTTAGAATAATAAGTTTTTCAGAATTTTTTTAAATTGATATTGTTTAAGATGGAGTAAAGGTATTTTAGGATATATTTTTTTGGACTCATTCAAAATGCATGCAAGGCTCCTGTTCCATTCACAGACGCACTAATAAACAATAGAACGTTTACCATACTTCTGGGTTTTAAAAGATGGTACATTTAGTTTTCCATTGTGTATATTCTAGTCAAGTAGGAATGTAATAGTCTACTTTCTGTGAACAAGTTTGCGATAGGAGATGGTATATTTTTATTTAAGGAGTCAAAAACAAAAAGAAGATCAGCATACTTTACTAGCGCTGGAAATGTTGGAATGAAAAGTTTTTTGAAGGATTTTGATGTATCTGATTTAATTGGTTGGAAGTTTATTAATCTGATGGATTGGCGCTGAGACGATAGCAACTTGTTAATGCAATAGTTTCCAACTTGACCCTAAACTTGACAACAATAGCTAAGATGAGATGAGAAAAATGCATAGTAAATACTCCTAAGTGTAACTTTATTGACATAATGACAAATTATTGAAAGCATACCATTAGCTCGAGAAAGTTCTATGAAAGATTACAGTCAAATAATACACCAATATATTTAATAACTCTTGGATATAGCCGTTTATTATTAATTTTGATTTTGATTTCAACATTTTTAACAGACTTGACCTTATTATTGACACGAGAGCCTAATTTTTGTGATGAAATACAAGATTTCATGACCTGAGAATAGCGGACTTTGGCATTAGACAAAACCTTTTTACAATGGTTCCTAGCAGTAATAAACAGACGTCTGTTTTCTGGAGAATTGTTTTGCTGATAGATATGGAAGTAATAATTTCGATTGGCAATTGCAGCAGCACAATGTGTGGAAAACCATAGAGAAGAGTGAGGCTTGACCAGGAATCATTGAGAGGTAATAAAGGATTTCATGCCAGCCTGAATCCACGAAGTTATGTAAGAAGCACATTTGTCAACAGGAAGACAAAAGATTTCTACCCAAGGGCCATCATGAAGAAAATCCCAGTCAGCTTTAAGGTAGTTGTAAGATGTATGATGATAAAAAAGAATGAGATAATCAACACTAAGATCACAAGATGAGACAACTGAACTCAAACTAGTCTCATAAAGAGCAAGTAGGTCTGGTAGACTTTGCATGAGATAAGACTTAACAGAAGTAAAGTTACTTGCCGCGAATAGTGAATGAAAAGTTTACCTAACTTGGTGATGACGATGGTTTTTTGTATTTTATACAAAAATGTTGAATTTTATTTACAATTGTGATAAATTGTTACCATTTGATGATATAACCATAGAATAGTAATTAAGTTTTTTTTGGCTTTCTGTTGGGGGATATGCATTTTGAGGCTTTTTATTGGTATTTAGGTGTTTGTACATGATCATAATTTTTTTAATGTTTTATGAAATAAAACTATGGCTGAACTTATAAACTAATATTCTTTTAATATTATATGGCTGAACTTATAAACCACTAATTATTTTTTTAGTGATTCAAACTAACACTTTTTTTATTTTTTTATTGCAAGATATTTTTATTGCAAGACTAAACAGAAGAAAAAAAACTAGACGAATTTTTGGAGCACTTAGGAACAGTAACAGAAAAAGAATGAGACTTAATTGAACTACAAGTAACACGAAAGTGAATTTTAGTAGATGGCACAAGAGACGCTAACTCTTTAGAGCAGTGCTCATTATAGTAATTGTAGAAAAGAGAAAAAGAAGCAACATTACGGCGGTGAGATAATGGTAACCATCAACACTAAGATCACAAGATGAGACAAAAGAACTCAAATTAGTCTCACAAAGAGCAAGTAGGTCTGGTGAACTTTGCAAGAGATAAGACTAAACAGAAGAAAAGTTACTTTGAAGACCACGAATATTAGTGAATTATAGGTTTAGTAAACTTGGTGATGACAGTGGTTTTTTGTGTTTTATAGTTTTTGTTACTTTATTCATTTTTAAATTTGTTAAAGAACTTGACTTGAAACATAGATAGTACTTAGTACATTGTTTAAAAGTCCAAGCAATTGCCTCATTACTAATAATAAACCCTAAACCATAACAAAGGGCTCCAATGTAGCCTTAACAATGCACACCAAAAGTACAAACAGGGACACCATCCATGCGCAACATGGCACTGTTAATACTTTGATATTTTTCAGCTGTTGATGGAATCAGCCTCTCTGAGAGCTACCACAGAGTTCGGTAAACTAGATTACCAGCTGGCCTCAGAACCATAAAACTGAGTTTTAGAGCTGTACCCTCATTAGGAGGTAATAGAATGAGTTGCCTCGACATAAAAACAGACACAAGCAAAACCCATGCATCGAGTCAAAAAAGATTCAGCATTCAACATCCTAAAATGGAAACAATGTATTAAAAAACATCTGCGCTAGCCGATGAAGAAGAGGTGCGAGGCTGGTCAACAGATAGAATCTGTTTATCCATTAAGTCTTTGCCTAGGAGGCATTCTACAAGACAGCAGCTGGATGCATTTTACATCTGCCCAAGATAAGTATTTTTATTGACACCATCTCTAGCCTTTACTCAACCAAGAGCCCCAAGGCAGGGGGTGTTTTATGTTGGAGTTAGCATCTCCTAGCCTTTACATAAAAAGGCATATCCTACAAAGCAACAGGACATAAAGCACAAAAGTTTCACACAAAAGTTTTTGTGTTATTCAAAGTCATTTACTTTTATGGAGTAAATATTCAAAATTTAAAGAACCTTTTTTTGTAAACTTCAACTTTTATTTGTAAAAAATAGTAATTGTTCTTAAATTCTCAATAAAATATTTATGCTTTTTAAGAAATTATGAAGAGCTTTTTAACAGCATTTCAACAATTTATAAATAAATATCAATAATATATTAGAAAATATTTTTATTTACTTACACAGTGTATCATTATCAGTTGTCATTTTTAAATGATGACTTTTTTGATACAAAGTTTGCGTTTCTCCTAAAAAAAAAAAAAGTTAACCATAATGTAACTTAATGACAAATTGAAAACTTTTATTTTACAAACAGGGTTTGTAAATATATCATTATATCTTTGTTCAAAAATTCATTCTAAATTATAAATTGGTAAATTAAAAAAATAATATTGGTTTATTATTAAAGATTATGTTTAAAAAAAAAACCCTTTAGACTAAATACTTTTTATTAAAACTAAATAATAAACATATACCACGAAAAACTATTTTTATAAAACTATAAAACTTCACCATTTTTTTTCACAATTTTAGTACTGAAGTTTTTAAAATACATGTGCTTATGTATGCAAACTATCAACTTGATAACACATTTCAATGTATATATGTTTACTAGGGTTCATCAAGGATGAAGTTTGAGCCAAAAAAGACTCGTCTGAAAAGTTCAGTGCTTGGCATAGAAGCCAGTATTACAGAAGCAGATGCCGAGATAACTGGTTGCAGATTACCAACAAGTTAACAAGTGCTGCAATGCTAAATGTTTTATCAACAAGCTGGCCTGTCTATAAAGCAACAGTGCAAAAATTGTGTTGAGGCAGGTCATTCCTTTCTTCTAGAAAGCAAATATTCCAATAATAACTGAAAAGAAAGCCTGTGAAAAAATCATTGCATTGTCTGAAAAAAATAAAAAACTTTGTGAACTTCCTCTAAATCATTGTTCATCATTGTCAGCACTGGCTAAGCTTGAATAAATGTCAGAAAAACTCAGTTTTTGGACATAACAAAATAAGTAATATAATGGATTTTGTGAAATGATTCACAAACATATATATATATATATATATATATATATATATATATATATATATATATATATATATATATATATATATATATATATATATATATACATGTGCGGAGTGTTGCTACATCGACTATCTTATAGCCTGCTGCTACAAGGTAGTGTTGCTACATCGACTATCTTTTAGCCTGACTCACAAGGAGTGCTGCTACATCAACTGAGGGTTTGGTTTGGGCAGGCAGTCTCATTTTTGCTTTCTGATAGCTGTGTATATATATACAGGCCTCGTGCTGAATCGAGAACTATTGTTTCCGACACATGAAACACGCCCATTAACAAACCTCTGGGCGCGACAAGTAGCGCTAATAGATCAACCAAATAAACAAGTGGGATTTTTTACTCTCGTAACGAAACTAGCGAGTGCTATTTGTTACCCTCCGAAGTTCATTTACGGGCGTGTTTCATATTTGGGAGCAATCAGCATATGCATTGTGTATATATATATATATATATATATATATATATATATATATATATATATATATATATATATATATATATATATTTATATATATATATATATATATATATATATATATATATATATATATATTTATATATTTATATATATTTATATGTATTTATATATATTTATATATATATTCGTCTATATATACATATGTGTAATTAGTGTAAATAATTGTATTGTATATAAACTATTATTGTGTTGCGTCAGAAGGAATGTTGTGGGCGCGTTGTACATATTATATTGTGCATAACGTTTATACTGTTTATTATACTCTCGGGGGTATTTTGCAAATGTATAAATATTGAGTAAAGATATTCAGAAGACAGTAAGAAAAAACAAATATATTTTATTATTACAACCTATTTTGGCAATGAGTTTCGTTATAAAGTTTGCGGATCTGGTATCACAATACGATGGTTCGGATGATTTTTCAGAATGGATACAGAAATTGGAACTGGTAGCAAAACTTCAAAAAGTTGACGAGCTGCATGTGGTGCTTCCCTTATTCCTTTCTGGTGGGGCGTTTGCCGTTTATCAAGGCCTAAGTGATGAGATAAAAGAAGACTACAATGAAGTGAAAACTGCACAGACTACTGCCTTCTCTGCTTCTCTCCTAAGAGCATACGAAGAGTTTGTAAATCGCCATCTTAAAGAGAATGAGTCTGTTGATGTATATCTCACAGAATTAACAAGACTGAGCAAGCTAATATCATCTCAAATAAGCGAAGAGTGGATAAGGTGCGCATTTATTCTTGGATTACCTGACAAAGCAAGAAAACAGCTGCAAACTGCATGCTCAATATCAACAATGTGGCTGTGCCAGATTGCTGAAAAATCCAGAAGTTTAATAATTATACGTCGCAAAGAATCGTGTTTTGTCAGTTGCGTAAATCCGGTTGCCATTAGTTCAAAACAGGTTCCTAAAAGACGCAGAAAAAAAGATCATAATGTGCTACCGTTGCGGTGAGAATGGTCATATCAGTCAAAATTGCAGCAAAGAGATTGAGAAGAAGAGGTGCTTTGTGTGTGGAATGGACAATCACCTGGCCCAGTACTGCTATAAAAGGTGTACGAACTCAAAAAATGTGGAAACGAAGCCACCCGTTTTTGTGCGACCGGCTTCCCACAAAATTTAAAACCGCCAACTCTCCCCGTATATGTCAATGGAAGAAAAATAAAAACATTGTTAGATACTGGATGCTCCAAATCAATTTTAAGTCGGGATATTGTAAACCCAAAAAATGTCAAACATGCAAGCGAAAAGGTTGTTATGATGAATGGAAAGTCAATTGAAGTACAATACCAGACTGTTGTTAATCTATAAATGATACCACCATCGATTTGGAATGCCTGGTTGCCAACATTGTTCCTGAATATCAAATGCTACTTGGTATGGACGCAATATGACTGCTTGGAAGTGTCCAAGTTGGGAGAGACGGTGAAACCATAAACTTTAATGTGGAGCAACTAACTATCGGCGCACTGCAGTCTCTCAAGGAAAACGTATCCACACCTACTGTTCAAAAGCTGATTGATAAAGACTTCGTAGCAGAATTCAAAAATGGCAGCTGGAGCGCGTCTTGGAAATGGCTGATGGAACCACCAACTTTAACAAACAAAATTCCAAACTATCACATATCTGAAGACGTTACAAGTGAGTACGCAACGGAAATAAGTGAATGGATAGCACAGGGATGGCTGAAACTGTTTGAAGGGAAATGTAATGGCATCATTCCGTTGATGGCAGTAATTCAACAAAACAAATTAAAAGTACGTCCGGTGATGGACTATCGGGAGCTGAATCAATTAGTATCCAGTCATACTGCAGATGGTGATGTTTGCAGTACTAAACTTTGCAACTGGAGAAAGTTGGGAGAAAATCTTGAGATAATCGATTTAAAAAAAGCGTACCTGCAGATTCGTGTCGACGAAGCATTATGGAAATATCAAGTTGTGGAATATGAAGGGCAGCGATATTGTCTAACACGATTGGGTTTTGGTTTAAATGTGGCACCCAGAATAATGACAAAAATCTTAAAAAAGGTATTATCCTTAGACAAAGTTGTCGAGTCTGGGACGGATTCATTTATTGATGACATCATTGTCAATAATAACATAGTGTCAAGTTGTAGAGTTCAAGAACTCTTGAAAAAATATGGCTTGGATTCTAAGCTGCCAGAAAAACTTGTCGGTGGGCGTGTGCTTGGATTGCAAGTGTACAAACAAAACAACCAAGTGCGTTGGAAACGTGACAACATACCCAAAGTTCCTGAAGGAAAAATGACGCGTCGGCAAATCTTTTCTTGGTGTGGACAGCTGACTGGACATTTTCCAATAGCAAATTGGTTGCGCCCTTCGTGCAGCTATCTAAAAAGGGTTTCGAGTAGTTGTGGATGAGACACTTTAGCGAACGATTGTGTTGTCAAATTAGTAAGCAGTTTAAATGAAAGACTTACAAAGGAAGATCCCGTTCATGGGTCATGAAACGTAAAAAACACTTCTGAAGCAACAGTGTGGTGCGATGCAAGCAGTTTAGCTGTTGGCATAGTTCTGGAAGTGGCTGGGGAAATATTAGAAGACTGCTCGTGGCTTAGAAAACAAGATGATGCGGCTCACATTAATCTCGCAGAGTTAGAAGCTGAGATAAAAGGAATCAATCTAGCAACAAAATGGGGATTCGAATGTATTACCATAAAGTGTGACTCGGCTACTGTTGTTGACTGGTTGAAATCCTTAATCATCGTGACAAACCTATTCGAGTACACGGTCTTGGAGAACTACTTGTCCGTCGCCGGTTGTTGTTAATTGAAGACCTTGTGAAGGAGTGTGGTATACAATTAAAACTTTTCCTGGTTAAGTCAGCAGAAAATAAAGCCGATGCTCTTACGAGGGTACCACAGAATTGGCTGCATTCAAACCATTCTGCAATGACAGCAAATCTTGTACCGCCTAATGTACCGCCGAAGTCGTTTCATAATCTTCATCACTTTGGAGTAAATCGAACCCTTTATTTGATGAAACAGACATATCCGAAGGAGAAAGTTTGTAGAAAAGACATTGAATCAGTCGTAAAAAGTTGCGAAAGATGTTTATCAGTAGATCCTGCTCCAATCAGATGGGAAAAAGGAAATCTTGAAGTTGGTAAGAGCTGGTACCGTTTAGCTATTGACGTTACCCACTATAAATCAAAGAATTATTTGTCTATCATCACCTGTGGCAAAAGGAGCAAGTTTGCAATTTGGAGGAAGCTACAAAACGAGAAAGAAGCAACAGTGTGTTTCCATCTAGAAGAAATATTTTGAGAAAGAGGACCTCCGTGGCAAGTTCTTCTTGACAACAGCAAGACCTTTCGCTCAAAACTCGTTGGTGAATTATGCCCAGAATGGGGAGTGTCCATCCTGTTTTGTTGCACTTACAGGCCATCTGGAAATTGAATTGTTGAACGTCACCATCGCACAATCAAGCGAATGGCAGCAAGAAGTGGCAAAGATCAGTTAAAAATGGTATATTGGTATAATGTGGCTCCCACAAAAAATGGCGAGAAAACATCGCTCCCCTACAAAGCTATATTTTCCTATGAGTGGAAACCACACACAATTTTTGCCAAAACTAACAAGGAAGTTCTCCACAACTACACACAAAGACAAGAAGTATTTATAAAACCACCTGAAAACCAACCATCTCTTGATGCCACTAGTTGCGTTCTACCTGATATAGCCGTCAAACAGGTTGATCCATTGCTCGACATTCGTATCACTCCAGCTTCTGTATCTAAAGTGATTTCCCGCTTAGACTCTTCTACAGCTTGCGGCCCGGACAACATACCTGTTATAGTCTTGCAGAAGTGTTCTCCGGAGCTGTTGTCTATCCTTTCAAAACTATTCAACAAGTGCTTATCAGAGTCTTGTTTTCCAGTCTGCTGGAAAGCAGCATCTGTTATCCCTATTTTTAAAAATTCTGGAGAGCGATCCGATTTGTCTAACTACCGTCCCATTAGTCTTCTTCCTATCATAAGCAAGGTTTTTGAATCTTTAATTAACAAACACTTAATCTCTCATCTCAAATCTCATAACCTACTTTCTGATCATCAATATGGATTTCGATCTTCTCGTTCTACAGCTGATTTGCTATCAGTAATAACCGATAGGTTTTATCGCGCATTAGATAAAGGTGGAGAGGTTAAGGCCTTTGCTCTTGACATTTCTAAAGCGTTTGATAAAGTTTGGCATACTGGTCTTCTCCATAAGTTTTCTTCTTACGGTGTATCAGGAAATATCTTTAAGATTATTGAATCCTTCCTTTCCAATCGTAGTATAAAAGTTGTCCTTGATGGACAGCACTCTTCTTGTTATTCTGTAACCTCAGGGGTTCCTCAAGGTTCAATCCTTGGCCCTATACTCTTTTTAATTTACATTAACAATCTTCCAGATATTCTCACATCTAAGGTGGCATTGTTCGCTGATGATACTACCATTTATTCTTGTCACGATAAAAAGCCAACTCCCTCTGATTGCTTGCAGGGGGCATCTGAGCTTGAAAAGGATCTCATTTCTGCTACAGCAAAGGGCTCTCAGTGGCTGGTGAACTTTAATTCAGATAAAACTCAATTTTTCAGCCAATTGTTATCGCAATAATTTAGATCTTCCTATATTTATGAACGGTAATGTACTTTATGAGTCATCTACCCTTCATCTTCTAGGATTAACTCTTACTTCAGATCTTTTTTGGAAACCATATATTAAATCCGTTGCAAAATTAGTATCTGCTAAAGTTGCATCTCTTTATCCAGCTCAACACTTTCTTACTCTGGATTCTATTCTCTATCTCTGTAAATCTCAAATCCGTCCTTGTATGGAATACTGTTGCCATATCTGGGGCAAATCTTCTAATGATGCCCTTTCTCTTTTAGACAAGGTGCAAAAACGCATTGTAAACTTAGTTGGACCTGCTCTTGCAGCCAACCTTCAACCTTTGTCACATCGTCGTAATGTTGCTTCTCTTTCTCTTTTCTACAAATACTATAATGGGCATTGTTCTGAAGAGCTAGCGTTTCTTGTGCCATCTACTAAAATTCACTCTTGTGTTACTCGTCATTCAAATAAGTCTCATCCTTTTTCTGTTACTGTTCCTAAGTGCTCCAAAAACTTTTATTCGTCTAGTTTTTTCCCTCGAACATCAGGTCTTTGGAATTCGCTTCCTTCATCTTACTTTCCTGATTCATATAATTTGCAATCTTTTAAGTCGTCTGTCAATCGTTATCTTGCTCTACAATCTTCATCTTTTCTCTTCCAGTAACATCCAACACTAATTAGTGGTTTTTTGCAGCCTTGTTGGAAGCGAAGATAATTTAAAAAAAAAAAAAATATTCAGAAGACAGTAAGAAAAAACAAATATATTTTATTATTACAATATGAAATATATAAAAAATAAAATTTGTTTACCTTCAATGCATTTATCTGCAATAGAATTATCAAAAAATGAAGGAATCTTTCCTAATGCTAAAAAAAAAAAGGAGGAGATAGATCAAATAGCATACATCAATATTAACTGTACAAAGTAATGTAAACAATTGTAGAGAATTTAACTACTTGTACAAATTTTAACACTTGTACAAATGACTAAAAATTGTTCACTAATAAAGCTTGTTTTACAATTATTTAAAAAGTATATCATAAGCATGAGCTACTATTGATATAAATTTTAACAGGTTTAAACATGAAATGTCAATTGAATGTAAATTTTTTTTTTTTGGCTCTTTACTACTTATTTAATGCATATTCAAATCGTGTATTAAGAATTTTTTTGTTACCACCTGTTTCAATTAAAACAGACAAAACATCACAAAGAGTCAGAAAAAGATTAGATCGAAGACATTTGTTAGATATTTGTTCCAGCTCTTTGAGCCAATCTTATTATATATGATTTATTTTTTGATTCTATATAATATTATAAAATATATTTTACCACGTTTACATAGATAATCTTCTGCTTGATTCATACCAAAGTTAAAATCATCATTTTTTCTTCCGATACTCTAAAGTTAAAAAATGATTCACCATTTAATGTAACTAATCATATTTAACAATATAAGCATCACTGTTTAAACTTTGGAAATATTTCAAACTTACAATAATTTCTTCTTTTTCAGGACAATTAAAATGTTTAATGTTCTTCAATGGAACTTTGATGCTAAAGAAAAGTTATTTATAAGATTTCAGATGATAAAACATTTTAAAATATATACTATAATGAGTATGATTACGTTTGTTTTGTATTTTCGGTTGCTTTTTCAAGAAAATGTATGTAACCATGGGACTTTGATGCCATCTTGTAGAACTAGCAAAAAATCCAGCAAATAAATCAATTGATAAAACTTGTAATTAAGAGATAATTAAGAAAACAACAAACCACTGCAGGCCAGTATGGATATTTTTTAATCTTAGCAAATACAACTTGACCTTTGCTATATTGATCTAAAAAAAATCAATAAAAACACTTCAAAAATGTAATACTGTATATTACAGTGAAACTATTAATGAATACAATGTAAATGATATTTAATAATATTACAAAAAACCATTTCTATATTCCAGATAGTTCTCTGCATAACTAGATTCATGCAAAACTTTTTGAGTAATTTATTAATTATTAATTATTATTAATTATTAATTATTAATTATTAATTATTAATTAAAAAAAAAACTATTTAAGTATTTGACAATCATATTGCAACACATGTTGTAAGACTTACAACATTAATTTTATTTCAACATAATTGTATTTGGCCAACATAAAGAAAAATTTTATAAGTACTTATATAGCTATAAATGTATATTCTTTTGCAGACAGGAAAACCTAATAAATAACTTTTATTAATTAATGAGTCAATAAATCATAAAATATTAAAATAACTACAAAAATACTACAATATTCAATATACTATAACAGTCTTTACATACATACATACATACATACATACATACATACATACATACATACATACATACATACATACCATACATACCATACATACATCCTTTTTTAAATATTAAAATAAAAAGAATGAAATAACTACAACAATACTACAATATTCAATATATTTCAACAGTTTTTAAATATACATATATACATACATACATACATACATACATACATACATACATACATACATACATACATACATACATACATACATACATACATACATACATACATACCATGCATACATCCTTTTTTAAATATTAAAATGAAAAGAATGAAATAACTACAACAATACTACAATATTCAATATACTTCAACAGTCTTTACATACATATATACATACATACATCTAATGGTTAGCAAGTTAAAAAAATCATATCTAATGGTTAGCAAGTTAAAACAATTATATCTAATGGTTAGCAAGTTAGAACAATTATATCTAATGGTTAGCAAGTTAAAACAACTATAGTGGTCAAGTTATTATCTTTTAATTTTATAAATTGTTTATTTGATTATTTTTTTTTATTATATCCATTATTTTAATTTTATTGAAATTAATTTATTTGAAATTTATTCAAGTTTTTTTATTAGGGTTATGAATGTTTTTTCTATGTGAATCAGCAAACTTTGTCTAAAGTTATAAAAAAGCACATAATTTGATTTCCTTATTTAATAACATCACCCCCAAACTAAAAAATTTGTTTGAGTAGATATGAACCATTTTTTATATTAGGAGTTTTATTATAAATGATGCTAAATTCCAAAATCGATTGATAATTTTTTTAATACTTGTCACCCCCTGTCAAAATTTTAATGATTGAAACATGTTCATTTCATCATCATCATTTCATTCATCATTTCATTCATCATACCTCTCCTACCTTATGGCTTGCCTTAATAACCACAGCTCGTTCCAATATTTTAACTTTCAATTTACTATTAACCATGTTCTTAATTAAAGGTGTCTTTAAAGAGAGACACTCTTTAGTTAGAAACATTCAACCCAACTTACTAAGTAGTTCTCATCTAGTTGGTTAAAATCTAGTTCAAATCATCTAAAAAGATGTACAGAACCATCATTATTGTGATTAGCCTAGCTTGTATGCGATAACTGTGATATGCAGACTGAGAGCATGAAAACACTTGTATGCGATAACTGTGTAATTCAAGACAAAAGCAGTATTGCCAATGGAAGCAGTTTTGATACCTTCTGCTATCTGCTAAAGATCTCTTCCTCAATTCTTCAAAACAGTTTTCACCATACCAACACCTGAGGTTAATTACTTGGTATCATCAAGAAATTCAAGTCTAAATTCTTTTCAGGACTTTTGGGATCGCTATCTTTTTTTATGGATTTGTTCTTATTCTCACCAATTTCAACAAACAAAAGGAACAATTTCAAACTGTAATTTTTGTTGGTGTCTTTCCTGTGCACCAATAAAGTTGTGTTTTGATAGTATTTAAATTTCTCCAAACTAATGCAAATAACTGAAACTCTAAAAAAAGGTTTATAAAGTTCTTTATGCTAAAGTAAAAAATATTTCAGTGCAAGTAGTTACACATTCACACTGCAAAATCAAGATAAAATAAAGCTATTATAAGCTCCTACAAAATAAATCATAATAAAATAATGTTAATTAATAAATCAAGAATCAAAACATTAAAAAAAGTTTAACAACACAGTGACATCCTTAATATTTGTAATAAAACTGCACCTAAAACCAAGCGATCTTTTATTAAGAAATTTATTAAAACTATAAGATAATTTATTTATTAATTAACATTTTATTATGATTTATTTTGTAAGAGCTTATAACAGCATTATTTTACATCTGATAACTATCTATTCTATTCAGATCAACAATGAAAAAAATATAGAAGTTATAAGGCTACTTTTATTTATGTTTTATATGGAATGACTTATCAAGTCATTTCATATAAAATTTTATGGAATGACTTATCAAGTCATTCCATATAAAACTTTATGTAAAATACAGGTCTTGGTAAATCTATTCATTACCGACCTTTTCTATACTTATTCTTACCTCAATATTTTTTAGTTGGTGGCAGAAAAATAACTCTATCCATATACAAAAACTATATTTATTGTTTTATTTTTTAAAGTTTTGAAAAAAAAAAAAAAAGTTTAAATAACTTTAAAAATCTTTAAACGTTTCGGTAGCTGTTGCGCAAATCGCTATTTATCAACTAATTAGATATTATTTAGACAGTAGCTGTCTAAATAATACTTAGAATACCTGCTTGAAATGTCTTAATTACCATCGGTTTAAAAAATTTAAAAAAACATGAGATGACTTGAATATGTGGAGTAGCGGACTTACCATGACCCATATACTGGTCATTATAAGTCTATTCCACTTCACATACTGTACACATACAAGAGTATTCATCTGATTGGTAAAATTCATGAACTTTTTTTTAATTTATTACTAATACATTTAACTAATAGAAACATTCTTTTGTTTTAAGTTAGTGAGACTAATTTAAATTCCTTTATTCTTTTTTCAGATCTCAGTGTGATGGGTTCTATCCTTCAATTCACAAAGACTCCAATAATCACATGTTTGAGTTGGGGGTATACATTAGGGTGTTTAAAAAAAAAAGAAAGAAAAAAAGAGCCCTAGCTTATCATCAGCCCAGTCCTAAAAATCGTAAAGGTCTCTTCAGGGGATAAACAATTTTTGTACCATATTTAAAAAATTAATAAAATGTCACCAAAAAAATTTTTTTTATTAAGATTAGGATAAAATATTTTTAGTTAAAAGTTAATTGAAAAACTGGTAAAGAAACTTACAACTGTTAAAGATATAATTCAACATTATCTCTTTCTACAAATAAAGAAGCAAAAATAAAGTTATTAGTAGGTTGTCCTACAAAAAGTTCTTCTTTAACACCTAATTGTCCAGTTAATCAGTCTGACTACTACATACTGTCCAAACTTTTGGTTCCTTTGATGTATTTAATGTGCTTTCAATACAAACACTAAACCCATAAACTTTTATACTTTTAAATAATATATTTACAGGATAAAAATTAAGTAAATGTTGAAGGAGTGGACGAAATTAAAAAATCAAAGATACAAAACAAATTTTGCATTATTGCAAGAAATTAAAAAACACTTGCTTTAAGAACAAATAAAGTATTTTAAGTAGGAGAACATCTTCATGTTATGTTTGAGAAAATATTAAAGATAAAATTAGAAAAATAAAAGAAAAGAAAATATTTCTTTCTTAAAAGACTTTGTGAAAGAAAAAGAAAACTTGGAGGTAAAAGATATGAGGAAGAAGTAAAAGAAGTTAAATAAAAATCTATCAGCAGAATTATATAAGAAAGGTTTAGATTATCTAAGTTTCACTAGTTACACCAGACACGAGTTAGGCTTTTTATTATTGATCATTTATCTGATCAATATTGAAGTATTTGGGCAAGTTTTGGGTGCCAAAATATTCAAAATATGAGGACTTTTTTTTAATTTTATTTTGTTGGCACATATTGTTTTTTTCGCAGAAAAATGCCTTTATTCTGCATTTTTTTGGTTGGCATTTTATGTTTCCATCAATGCAACTTTACGACAGTCATTGGCACTGGCGTACTGTCATCCAAATTTTTTTCATAGAATAGCTCCTGAAAAAGGTTTAAATTTCACTTACCAGGACTAGTTTGCTGTTTAAAATTTATTGGAATATATATATATATATATATATATATATATATATATATATATATATATATATATATATATATATATATATATATATATATAAGATTATTAAATCATTTTTTAATGAATGAATTTTAAATCCTGACTGATAAACACAAAAAAGAATAAAAAAGACAAATATTTGTTTGTCTTTTTTATACCAGTGACTTATCCAGAAACATTTTGGGCATACCAGTCTAAAAATTCTGTTTACGTTAAGAAGACCTTTTTTTTTTTTTTTAAGAACACAAATTTTAATAAAATTATTTATATGTAATATAACTCGCACTAGTATTTTACTTTTTTCCAAATAAAAATGTAAATAATTAATCAAAATTATGTTACATTTATTACAAAATGACAGCTTTTACGTTACATTTGTTACAAAATGACGGCTTTAACATTGATTCACTGCTGATTTTCATTTACATGCTTTATTTGCTTACTAATATAAAGAGTATTTTTTTATAAACAAGCAATAACTATAACATTTAATAAACAATATTTGTGTGTTTCTTTTATATAGACTAAAAAGATTTATTACATAGCGTATTTATTGTATAACAAGATCAATTCATTCAAAGTTTTAATTAATTCACTTAAAAATTAAATCTTTTTTTCTTGATCTTTTCTTACTTTTCAAATATAGTTTTTTTGAGTGTTTTAAAAAACACTCAAAAAAAAATTATTTTACTGTTATTTGAATTAAAAAAAGTTTGAAGTTTATAGTTCAATCACTTTGAAAATTATGAAAATGTAAGCGGAGGAATT